CTGTGATGGATATCAGATATCCGTTTATATCTATTATTAGTAGTATGAGTATTAGAATCACTATTCGTATTGGTATTAAATCAGTATTAGTATTAGAATTAGCATTAGTATTAGACTTAATATTAAAATCAGTATCAATATTAGTATTAAAATCAGTATTAGCATTAGTATTAAAATCAGTATTAATATTAGCATTAAAATCATAGTTAATATTAGCATTAAAATCAGCATTAGTATTAAATCATAATTAATATAATATTAAAATCAGTATTAATATTAGTATTAAAATCAGTATTAGTATTGCGTCAGTATCTATCAATATTAGTTTCATTGTCAATTAGTATTAGTATCAGTATCAGTATTAGCATCAGTATTAGTGTTACTATATATCAGTAATAGAATTAATATCACTATTATTACTAGTTTCATCATTGTCTTATCACTTCACAATCATAACCATACAAATTATTTTATATTTTATTTATCGTTGTTACGTCATTCATAAGTTTTGAAGGGAATATTGATAAAAAATATATATATATTTAATACAATTTCTTATCAAAAGACACTGAGGACTCTTTATCCGTGACCAAAATATAAGAGAGACAGCAACGTAAAGGATAAAACTCGAATAGATTTTTATCTTTCTGAGTTTTAGGAAATAAATAGCGCCATCATCTGATACATTAACTGGAAAGCATGTTAGACAAAGGAGGCTGGAGTTTCATCCGTGTTGGGTGATAAGAGAGATAAGAGTGCCAGTGACAGAGGGGAGATTGCAGACAGGAGGGTGTCGTGACGTGTCAGAATGTCTGATGTTCATTAATATATTTCCATCTCTTTATTTATTCATCTGTCTGTTTAGCTGTCTATCTGCTTATCTCTGTCTGTTTGTCTTTCTTTCTGCTGTGTGATGCAGTGGTAGATAGGTAGACAGACAGACCGGAACAAAGTGAATAACAATTGCAATAAATGCAATTAAACTAAATAATTATCATTATTATTTCTCTCTCTCTCTCTCTCTCTCTCTCTCTCTCTCTCTCTCTCTCTCTCTCTCTCTCTCTCTCTCTGTCTGTCTTTTCTTTTTCTTTTCTTTCTTCCTCCCCCCTCCTCTCTCTCTCTCTGTCTCTTTATACATACATACATACATATATATATATATATATATATATATATATATATATATATATATATTATATATATATATATATATAATGTGTGTTGTGTGTGTGTGTGTGTGTGTGTGTGTGTGTGTGTGTGTGTGTGTGTGTGTGTGTGTGTGTGTATGTATGTATAATAATACAGTAAAGTACAGAAAAATAGATAGGCTGGTGTCATGGCGACCGTCTCAAACACAGGTGTAGATTATTTCATGGACGTCACCCTCTCTGTTCTGTTTCGCCGAATTCTCGCTTCGACATATTGTGTTTCCTGGCGTGAGGGACCCAGGCATCTGAAGCCCATTCCCAGTGCATTGTGTATATATACGTGTGTGTTTCTAGGTGTGTGGCGTGTGTGTGTGTGTGTTCTGGGGTGTGGGGCGTGTGTGTGTGTTTGTGTGTGTTTCTAGTGTTGTGGGCGTGTGTGTGTGTGTGTGTGTTTGTGTGAGTGTGTGTGTGTGTACTGTTTTGTGTGTGTGTTTCTGTATGTTACGTGTGTGCGTTAAATACATGCGTGTATTCATGTAGGTGTGCATATACCCTGTGTGTATGCGTGAATGTGTGCGTTAGCGTGAACCATAAAACCCGAATCTCACCAAGACGAACAATTTAAAAATCTATCGTTTCTCTCCTCCCTCCCTCTTTACTTCCGGCCATTAACGAATTCCAGGAAGATTGGCAGTCGAGTGAATAATCCAAGAAGTCTAGTGAGTGAACAGAATAGAGAGATAGAAGGAAGAAAGAGAGGAATAGAGAAGACAGGGGAAGATATGGGAAGAACATGTTATTGGATAACTGCTCAAAATATTCCTATTAAGAATAATGTATCATCAAAGTTTATTAATTAATGGGCTAAGAGTGATTAATGGTGTGACCAAAAAAGAAATAATTGGGAATTGAACTCAGGGGAATGTGAAAGTATTTTTTGTTATATCAAAAGATTACAGGAAAATCTTTTAGTGTAGTTTTAAGACATATTTTGATACTTCTCTATTTTACTATATAAGAGATAGAATTATTGAGCACATATTTCTAAAAAATATATTCTTAAAAGACCTTAATTACACTAATCACTTCCGCCATCATTTCAGAAATGGCCCAAGATATAAGAAAAATAATCATAAACAAGAAAACAGCAAAATATCACCTTTAACTTATTATTTTTCAAATAACCATCTCTAATATCTATAAAATCATATAGTAAGGTGTTTTTGTGTGTTTGAGTATCATATTAGTTTTCATTATTAAAGAGGAAAATATGATCATATTAACAAACTTCAATTATTTTTTACTTATAGATGCTCCTTCAAAACGACAAAATCGGTCAAAATGCTTTCACATGATATAACAAAAGGTCAAAGGTCTAATAGGTCACCCAGAAAGAAAAAAAAACATTTAAATCACACACAAAAAAAAAAAAACATAAATAAAAATAGATAAAAAATAAGAATATAAAAATAAAGAGAAAAACGAAAAAAAAATCCATCACGCTATGAAAAAAAAAAATAAAAAATAATATAAAATAAACAAATAGAAATAAAAATATAGAAATATAAAAAAATAAAGAGAAAAAAAAAATCCAACATCATGCTAAAAAAAAATAATAAATAAATAAATAAATAGAAATTAAAAAAAATAGAAAAAAAAAAAAATAAAGAGAAAAACGAAACAAAAAATCCAACATCACGCTATTAAAAAAAAAAAAAAAAAAAAAAAAAAAAAAAAAAAAAAAAAAAATATAACAACATCACCCCAAGATGGCCACAAGGACCCAACAACCGATCCTTATACCGATGTTCCTCCTTAAGAAATACCTTAAGAAATACGTCGGATAAGGAAACAGAGCGAGAGAAGATAACTTGGAAGGAAGGAGTCGATGTTATCTCGACGGAAAACCTTGAATAAAGTTAATCCAAGCCGTTGCCTTTAATATACGCACCGAAAGGAAAATGAGAAGGGAGGACGAAGAAGGAGAGAAGGAGAGAAGGGTGATAAAAGAAGGGAGAAGGAGACGAGGAGAGAAGGATAGTAAACGAAGGGAAGGAAGAAGGATGATAAAAGAAGGAGAGAAAGAGAGAAGGATGATAAAAGAAGGAGAGAAGGAGAGAAGGATGATAAAAGAAGGGAGATGGAGAGAAGGAGAGAAGGATAATAAAAGCAGGAGTAGGAGATAAGGAGAGAAGGATAATATAAGAAGGAGAAGGAGACGAGGAGAGAAAGATAATAAAAGAAAGGGAAGGAGACGAGGAGAGAAGGATAATGAAAGCAGGAGAAGGAGAGAAGGGTGATAAAAGAAGAAGAAAAAAGAGAAGGATGATAAAAGAAGGGAAAGGAGACGTGGAGAGAAAAGATAATAAAAAAGGGGGAAGGAGACGAGGAGAGAAAGGAAAAAAGAAAGGAGGGATTGAAGAAATGGAAATAAATGATTTAAAAAGGTGGAGAGAGATTAAGACCTTAAAGACAATGCGAAGAGCCTGATGAGAATGAGGGAAGGAGAACAACGTGGAAGTTGTGATAAAGATGGTAATAACGAGGGAGAAATCAAACGAACGGTGAATAGAAGGGCGAAGAAGTTAAAGAGGGAACACAAAGACAGCGAAGGAAGAAAGGAGAAACACTAATAAGAGGAATAAAGACGGAGACGGAAGACGAGAGAAAGGAAGTATAAAATTGATATGCAGAAAAGGGAAATCAGAGGAAGAGGAGAAGAAAAGAAATAGGAGATGAAAGGAAGTGAAGAGGGAAAGAGCAGAGGAGAAAAGGAGGAGAGAAGGAAAGACAAAGAGGAGACGCAAAAAAGAGGAGAAAGAGAAATGAAAAGAGAAAATTAGTTATTATCATTCTCCTTATCATTCGTATAATAAAGATGAAGAAAGAGAGAGAAAGACGAATGAAGAGAAAAAAGAAAGAAAAAAGGAAAGCAAAAGAGAGAGAGGAAAGAAGGAGAGGAAGAGAAAAAGACGAAAGGAGAGGAAGAGAGAGAGAGAGGAAGAGAAAAAGACGAAATAAGAAGAAGGGAGAAAGGCAAAAGGAGAGGAAGTGAGAAAGAAGAAAGAAGGAAAGGGAGAAAGAAAGACGAAAGAAGAGGAAGAAAGAAAGAAAAGGAAAAGAGAAAGAAGAAAGCGAGGTAGAAAGAAAGACGAAAGGAGAGAAAGACAGAAGTATGAAAGAGAGGAGGAGAGAAGAAAGAAAGAGAGGAAGAGGCAAGAAAGAAGGAAGAGAGAGTAAAGAAGAAGGAGAGGCATAGAGAAGGAAGAAAAAGAGAATAAATAAGAAAGAAAGGAAGAGAGAATAAACAAGAAGGAAGGAGGAGAGAGTAAAGAAGAAAGAGAGGAAGAGAGAAGGAAGAAAGAGGGAATAAATAAGAAAGAAAGGAAGTGAGAATGAAGAAAGTGAAAATAAAGAAGAATGAGACGAAGAGAGAAGGAAGAAAGAGAGAACAAATAAGAAAGAGAAAAAGGAAGAGAAATAAATAAGAAAGAAAGGAAGAGAGAAGACAGAAGAAAGAGAGAAAAAGAAGAAAAGAAAGAAGAGAAATAAAGAAGAAAGGAAGGAAGAGAGAAAAAGAAAGAAAGAGAAAAAAAATAAAGAAAGAAAGAGAGAATAAAGAAGAAAGAAAGGAAGAGAAGTCAGAAGAAAAAAGAAAGAGAGAATAAAAATAAAGAAAGAAAGAGAGAAGTCAGAAGAAAGAGAGAAAGAGAGAATAAAAAAGAAAGGGAAGGAAGAGAGACCGGCGAAGAGGGAGCTGCCTCTTGGCCCGCCGCCGCGAAGACCGTCTGGACCGACGCGGAAGAAAGACCGAAGAAGCAACTTTACGACGTCGATCTTTTCTCAGATTCC